TTTTATTTCCACCATTTTCTTTGATGTTGCTTTTTTCCACTTTTTCGGATGCTTTATCGCTATTTGTCTCTTCCTTTTTTTCCTTTCCGCTTTCTTTCTCATTGCCTTCTGTCTTTTCCCTTACATTTTCGTCGCTTTTAACCTTCTGCGTAGAACCATGTGACATAATCTGGTTAGGTCGTTCTTCGTTTTTCTTTCTTGCTTTCGGAACTGCTCCGAATACTTGTGCGGACTCTGAATACTTTCTGCTTGTAGTGTTCTTCTGCTTCTTCAATACATTTTCCTTTGCAGCTCTCTTTAAAGATTGATTGCCTTTCAGTGTTTTTTGGTCTTTGTCCAAAACAGATTTGCTACCCTCTTTTCTCCTAATTTGCTTCCCCAATTTGGACTCACGATACATAAGCTTCTTTTGCTTCTCACGCATATTCTTACTGTTTTCTCCATATCCATCACCTCTTATTTTGCCAATTACAGATTTACTACTGTTCGGTTGAAGTACAATCACAACTGCTGCAACATTGCCCTTTCGAACACTGTCAGTTGTGGTCGCCCTTCCTTCTCCCAATTCGTTCTTTTTCTTAAACTTTTCAAAGGATTTGCTACTATGCAAGGTTGTGTTCCGCTCCGCATGCAAAACATTTGCCGTTTCTTTAAATTCTTTCAATTTTTTGGCTGGTTTATAGCTATCTGCCATTTCCTCCTTTTTCTTTTCGCTTCTCCCTCCTTCCCCATTACCTCTCACTCTGTCTTTTACAAGATGACCGTTGTTATAATCTTGTTTAACAGCAATGGTACTCTTTTGAGATCCTCTTTCACTGTTGCTTATCAAATACGGAACTGCTCCGTCGCCGTAACCAAGCTTTCGTTTGTTGCTGCTTGTAGTGATCTTCTTCCTTTCTTGTCTCTTGTTACTCGCATTTTCTTTTGGAAGTAGATCAACATCTGCGAGTTTTCGCTTCACTTCTTGATCACTTTCTGCTGTACTGCTTTTCCATGCTTTAGACCTTCCATTGGTATTCGGCACATAGTTCTCCTTCATCTGTTGCATACGCTTTCTACTAGTTATGTTTTTGTCACTCATTGCAACATTGTTCGCAGACTTCTGTGCAACGCCCTTCGATGAGCCTTTGTTAGCGTTCGTTCTCTCAACCACAGTCGTTCCACCGGCACCGAAGTTAGATTTTCGATCACTTCCACTTTGGATGTCTTCCTCTTTATGCGGTTCTTTCTTTTCCCTGACCTCCGAAAAAGTGACAGTATTCAGTTTAGTATTCCTTCTTTCTGTTCTCCGTTTTATGGCGCCGTTGCTAACTGACGGGACCTTCTTTTCGCGACTGTTATTACTATTTGGTTCTTCTCCTTCAACTGTTGCCTTGTTCAAGGGTCTGTCGCTGTTTACAGGCTCTTGCTTAGTGCCAGAAGTATCATGACCAATTTCTGGTTGTTCATTTTTCTTTTCTGGTTTAGGTGCTCTGTAGCTAGCAGATCCAGGATTTCGGTCACTGACACTCGTCGTAGTCTTTCCATCTTTTGGTCGCTTATTTTCTTTCACTCTGTCAACATCAAATTTAGTCTTGTTCTCCTTAATTGTGCCAGCCTTGTCATTTCCTACCCCCTCCGTTTCTACCAATTTTTTAAGTACCCTGCCGCTACTTGGCAAAGGCTTCCTTCCTTTCTCACGTGCGTCCTTATCTGGTAGTTTTGCGTAATTTGCTACCGTTTCTGATGTGACGTTGTTTTTTGTATTTTTTAGGGCAGCCTCTGTTGAGGTTTCCTGTTGATCGTGATCTCGCATATTCTTCGTTATTTTTACAATTTCTTCAGTGCCACTAATCCTAATCCGATCGTACTTACTTGAGGGGGCCTTATTTTTCTTGAGTTTGTCACCTATGTTTTCCCGACGAGATTTTTGAGCGTTTGATTTGCTCTTTTGTTTCTTTTCTGAATCAATATTGCCATTGTCCGACTTTTTGCTTCCTTTCACTCCTTTTGATACTCTTTCATCGATGCTTGTGTTTTGTTTGTTATTATTTTGGGGCATGCGCTTTCTACTTGTTTCTTTTCTGTCACTTTCGATCGCATTCAATTCTCCATTTAATATCAGCTTTCGCGCCGGGGCATTTGATGCGTAATAATTTCCACCCTTTCCTTTTTGAATGGTGAGTAACATAGCAATGCCATCTTTGCGAGAAGTGGAGTTGTGGGTTTCTTTAGTTATGGTAGTCATATCATTTCGTGCTGTTTTGTCAGGTAACGACGCCCTTCTTTTGTTCCCAATCAAAGTGGTTTCGAAATTTCCTGTTTTTTCTCCATCTCTGTGTCTCGATTGATCGCTGCTGCTAGTGATCCTTTCCTGATTACTTCTAAGATAGTCTGAAATGCTTGTCACTATCGTTGTTTCTTTCGAAGGCATGCTGTGATTTTCGGAAGACTCCTTTGCATTTTCTTTGTTTGCAGCTGTTTTGCCATTAGTAAATCCGTCTTGACCAGATCTATCTTTGATCCTCTCTTTTTCAGATCTTTCACTTGCATTTTTTCCCGATTTGACAACGATCAGGATCACTCCATTTGCAGGTCTACTCTCAACCATTGTTTCTTTTTTCTTTTTCACTTCTTCAACACCATGCAATTTATCATTGGGCATCACTGATGCCTTGATATCACCTAAAACATTCTCTTTTTTCTATTCGCTTTTTAGGTGTTATTGAACTCACCTTTACCAGTTGCGGTTCCAAGAACTGACTTGGCATACTCAGAAGTGGATTCTCTGCCATCTACTTTTTTAAGGTTCGAAGTCTTTCTCGTTACCGCTTCTTTCACTATTTCGTTATCTGAAGTTTATTTTGAACATTTGATTTGATTTTTGCTTACCTTTTTTGCTTACCGAAACCTTGCTTACCTATCGAAATCTTCGATGTAGGCTTTTGCTTGCCAGCTTCTGTCGCATCACCTACCATCAGCTCCTTTCCACTGCCTTTCACTTGTTTCTGTAAGTCGTCAGTTGCCGTATTTTTATTTGCTTTAAAGAAATGCTTAGAGTACTGCTTCTCATTTTGATATTCC